ATTTATTTTGAGTTATTTATATTTAGCTAATTAATTAGTAAACTTTATAACTAATTAATTTAATAACTAATATTATTTAATAAAACTACTGACAAATTTTAAAAAAACTTTCGAATTTTTTTTTTTCTGCAGTTGAAAAAATTAAGAAAAAATGGAGCAGAAATTACTATTGTGAAAAAAAATGGACTTAACTGGAAATGGTCACTACCAGCAGAGCAACTTTTTTTTCCCCAGTCTGAAATAGTCAATTTTATTGAGGAGCCAAAGAAAATTTCAAAAAGAGGGATTTATTCAGTTCCAGAACTTTTTCACTAAATTTTTTAAAACATTGTTTTGTCATTTTTGTTTACTTTATACCTAAACTGCTTAGTTTACTTGGTACCTATACTTGTTTAGTTTGTACCTATATTTTATTTACTGTACACAAGAACTTTGTTACTAAATCTTTTTTTGTCACTTTATTTTTGTAAATTAATTTTCTTTGCTCAAATATTGCTGTTTTTATTGTTGTTTTGCTTCCTTTAGTTCCTTTTTACAGGGTTGGGCCAAAGTCACCCTAACACATCGGGCGACTTTGGCCCACCATTCAAACCACCCAAAAGATACTTCAGGTAAATAATTTTCAAATGGGAGACAGATAGTTCTAACTGTCCTTTCTATGTACTTCTAAAAGTACTTTGTGTTTGAGGAAATAACTTTTGTGGCTTTCATGCAATAGACATTAAGATACAAAATGGGCCAAAGCCACCCAATCTTACGGTAGCTCTTTTAGCTATTAGCAAAGAGATTTCTTTTTTTATTGTTAAAAACTTTTTTTTTAAGTAAATCACTTCGCTTATGGACTGAAACTTTTTTCAGTTTGTTTGTCGGTGGTTCAAAATTTACTGCATCATTATTTCGTTTTCTGTCAAGTCGTACCATTGCAAGTCTCTTTTCGCACACACTTCTTGAAAGTATCATTTTTTCGCATAATTTCTTATTAATTGGAGACTTTAACAAGTTTTGACGATGGTATTTAAAAAGTTATGACGATGGTAGAATAAACGGTACTCGTAAATAAAAATTCTGTTACAAAAGCTATGAGAGAAATCAGTTTTTAATTTTCGTCAAATATGAGAAATATCGTTAAATTTAAACTCTTTTGAGATTAGTAAAATCTATTTCTAGAGAGCAGTTAAATAGTTCGATCTAAGAATAAGAAATTTGGTATGACCTTCAACTAGTAGAAACTTCTATTAATCTTACAGTTACTATAATACCGTGGTGTAACATTATGGTCGTGCGGTACAACTTGTTTTCGTAAAGGGTGAAAAAAACTTATAAAAAAATCTTATTATCACTGACTAAGATTAATTACTTTGTTAGTAATAAGTTATTTCATACAAATAAGTGTTATATAATAAAACTATATTCTAAACTATAAGGATTTTATTCCATGTAATTATTTTAAAGAAATCTAAACATATGTACTTTGACTAAAGGTCAAGTGAATCAAATTGCTTTTAAATGCCATTACTAGGTTTTTAAAAACATTGCATTTTGAGGCACGTTTTCTTTTCAATTCAAAAACCATTAGTTTTTGATTCTATCTTGTTTTGAAAGCTTAACAGTTTATTACTTTTTTGTAATTGAGGTTAAAAAAAAATAAGTTGTCTTTGGCCCACTACATAGTGTGATTTTGGCCCGGGTAAAGTCACCCCATGTATTAGAGTAAACCTTTTTTAGTGATCATTTATAGATATTATGGTAGTTACTATGTTGGACTGAAAAATGTACTTTGAATAAAGGTCAAGTGAATCAAATTGCTTTTAATGCGATGTTTTTAAAAACCTAGTAATGCCATTACTAGGTTTTTAAAAACATCGCATTTTGAGGCATGTTTTCTTTTCAATTTAAAAAGCTCCTGTTAAAATTAATTATATTTTCTGAAAAAAAATCATTTTTTTTAAAAGATTTAAAAATATGTTTTTTTTTTTAAATTTAAACGATTTAAAAAAAATCATTTTGTTAAATCTTTTAAACTTTGAATCACATGAATGATCACGTGAATCATTAATAATGCCTCACCTTTTGTTTATCATAGTTAAAATAAACTTAAAATTTAAACTATATCTAACGAACGTTTAAACTTTTTTAGTTAACGAACATGGAGATTTTTTTATAAAAGAAGACATTGTGTTGATTTAAGTTTAAAACATTTTAAACTCTGAGTGGAAGAACTAATTGTGGAAAACTAACTGATTACAGAAAAATAATTTAATATCTTTTTACTTTTATTTATTTATTTTCTTTTTTAACATATTTATTACTAAAGATTTCTAATTTTTTGTATTTTAGAAGTCTGGTGTTTATTATTATCATTAGTTCCTTTCTTTTTACTGCGATTGAAGTATGCTCCGAAAATAGTTAAAATAAAATTCATTTATATCTTCCAAAAGTTTGTGTTTTACTGGTAATAAAATATTTACTGAAAGAAGTTGGCAAGCAAAAGTCTCGGATTTATTTCAGTTTATTTTGCAAAATTACTACAAAAAAACCAAAACGCTCAAAAACACCTATGGGATTTCAGTTATGGTGGCGCCTCTGATCTCTAACAACGCGTTAAACGTTTATCTGTTTGTATATCTTTGGTGAATTGAAGCAATATTTCATTATCCATTATGTATTTAAATGTATAAGTGCATGTCTAAAAAAGTTTCCGCATTGTTTAACAGTTTTTAAATATAGTTTTCTACTTCTTCTTTGACTTAATCTTCTTATTATTATTGTTAAAATTTTATCATTATTATTATTCTTTTTTTAATGAAAAAATTATGTAGTTTTTTATTCATATATAGGGTGAATAAGGATACTCTTAAACTGGCGTAATATTATAGTAATATAAAAGAATGGACGAAAGCACGCCCCCCTCCCTCCTTGTTAACATCTAAATTCCGATTGTAAATTCCGGATTTTTTCCGGATATTACAAAAAAATTTTCCGAATTTTTCCGGATATTTAAGGAAAAAAAGTTTCCGGATTTTTATAAAATGGCCAGGATAATCTATAAATATAACAAATATTGTTGTCAAAGGCAAACTTGCTGAGTTAGAAGACAGAAGCAGAAGAAATAATCTAAGGTTTACAGGAATCGAGGAAGACGAAAATGAAACGTGGAAAATAAGCGAAGAAAAGATTCAAAATGTTTTTAAAGTCAAAACTTGGTTTTAAAGGTAATGTTGAAATTGAACGTGCGCACAGGACGCGGAAAAAAAATAGTGATGGAAAAAAGTACAACAGAACCATAATAGTAAAATTTTTAAATCACAAAGACAAAAAAACTGCGTCGGATAACTATGTTCAGTTAAAATTGTGGAACGATCGGCTTTACGTAAACGAAGACTACAGCGAAAGAACTTTGGAATTTGCGAAAACAGTTATTTAAAGAAGCAAAAGATTTGAGAGCCAAAGGTAAATATGCTAAAGTTGTGTATAATAAGCTTGTAACGCGCGACAATTAAGAAATTCTTTTATATTAGAGTTATTATTTTATCTTAAATTTTTATTGTTTTTAAATACTAAAATGGATTCAAATCACTCAAAGAATTTTGATATTTTTCAATTCAATGATTTTATACTCAATAAAGAGTCCGATCCGGATCAAAGTTTTTTTTAGCGAAACAGGTGATTTACAAAGCAACTGCAGCTGTTTCTATAGTTATGAAATAAAAGAATTTCTTAAGCATGATAAATTTAATGCAGTTCATATAAAAATATATGAAGTTTAAAAAAAAATTTTGAAAATCTTTGCAATAGTTTTGAGGAAAATTTAACTCTTTTTAGTGTAATATGCATAACTGAAACTTGGTGTAGTTTTAATGACTCAAGTTTAGATAATAACTTTAAAATACCGAGCCATAATTTGATTTCATTAGGGCGGAAAACAAATAAACGTGGCGGTGGTTTAACACGTTAACTGCCGAGCTATTTTTTAGCTATGGTTTATTTCTTTGCCGAGCCGTAAATTCTGATATGATTAACTTTTGCCGAGGCTGTTTTGCATGGTTTCATTCCCATTGCTTTCCCAAAGTTAGATATCAACATTTCAATAATTATAATATTTTTAATCAAATAAATTTTTATAGTACTTTTTATACTGAATATAATTGACAAAAAATAAGCACTACGAGTATACTCGTACTTTGGCACTGGTGAATAATTTATTTTCTCCAGTGCCGAAGTACGAGTATACTCGTAAGTATTTTTGAGTATAACTCATTGTGGTGACTAACAACGTAGCTTATTTGATGCATTAGAATAGAGATGTGATAGAATAGAGTTGTGTTTTTTGTTTGCACATGCGCATTGGCAGTTATCATGAGTAAAAAAGGTGATTTATATTTCGATTTTTTAATTCTAAGTTATTTTTTTTGGATATAATCTAAAATAAATTTGTAACAACATTGTTATGAATAAAGGGTGAAAAACCTAAGTGTGCATTTTAGTTTATAATATTTTACATGTAAACTTGTAAAAATTTTTAGTATAAATAAGTAATTTCCCTTATACAAATATATAACTTATAAATTTATCTATCTAATAGTAGTTCAACGCAGATATTCCGCAATTGAAGCAGCACAAATAGTTATGGAAGATTGTGGAGATAGTGAAGATGATGATATTGAAGACTCAGAGTCATTCTTTGCTTATACTACAACGTCTTCCAGCTTGACTGCATCAGAATCAGAATCTGAAGATAATAGCACTGAAGAAAGTGATGATGATCAGTTAACAGAAGTTCATACAGCAGCCACTGCAGAACATTTTTTAATGCCTCTGAAAAGAGTTAGAACAACGGGTGGTCTTGCTTACAGACAAAATCAAAATAATGCTCGGCAAGTAAATCTAAGAAATATTTTGCCTGACAAAACAACTTTAAATCAAATTTAAATCAATGGAAAGATGAGCAGAATATTGTTAAGAAAATTAAATTTACTGCCACTCCTGGTTTGAAAATTAAGATGGAAGGCAAAAAACCATTGGATTTCTTTCGACTATTTGTTACAGAAGAGCTTATAAATAGTATGGTAGTTGAAACTAATCGCTACGCCATGCAAGAAATCAATAAGCAGCGTCCGCTTAGAAGAAGCTCGCGTTTTAAAAATTGGAAACCAATAAATTCAGAAGATATGCGGCAGTTCCTTGGTGTTCTACTTCATATGGGATGTGTTAAATTGCCATCCTTTGAACACTACTGGTCTAAGAAAAGTCTCTATAGATTTCCCTTATTTTCTAGAATAATGCCAAGAAATAAATTCCAACTAATGTTACGGTTCTGGCATTTCATTGACAATGAAGATTCGGATGGTGGACGCTTGTGTAAAATTATTGGACTTATTGATCACTTAAATAATACAATGGACAACATCTACTGTCCGAACAAAAATATTTCAATCGATGAATCAATGATGCTTTGGAAGGGACGTCTTGTATTCAGGCAATATGTTAAAAATTAAAGACATAAGTATGGTATCAAGTTCTATGAGCTTTGCAAATCGGATGGTATTGTGCTAAAAGTATAAATTTACTCTGGTGAGACAACTCTCGATAAACATTTGTTGGGTCAAACTGGAGCAATTGTTTTAGACTTAATGGAGAAGTTTCTAGGAAAAGGTTATCACCTGTACACCGATAACTTCTACAATTCCTTTGAACTAACAAAGCACATGATAAGTCAAAACACATACATATGTGGTACGTTAAGAACTGACCGAAAGTCAAATCCAAAAGAATGTACAAAAGCTAAACTGAAACGGGGAGACGTTATAAGCAGAAGCAGAGAGGGTGTAGTGGTTGCGAAATGGAAAGATAAAAGAGACGTGCTAATGATTAGCAACTTGCATTCGTTACAAATGATTGAAGTAACAAACAGGAGAGGAGAGAAGAAAATGAAACCCAACATTATAAAAGATTATAATCAATATATGTCAGGAGTAGATAAGGCGGATCAAATGGTATCATATTATGATTGCCTAAGAAAAACAATTAGATGGTACAAGAAAGTAGCGCTTCATGTCTTTGATATTTTTGTGCTTAACGCTTACTGCCTAAGCAGCAAACACGGCGTAGATAAAACAACTTCTTTGCTTAAGTTTAGAGAATTAGTTGTAACGGATTTATTGGGTGATCGCTTAAATGAAATTGTTCCTCGAATCACCAATAATAGTGTCCACTACTTGTCTTCGATACCGCCGAATGAAAAGAAAAAACTGCCTACAAAACCATGTCGTGTTTGCTCTAAAACAAAACGAAAAGAAACACGATATGAATGTGCTGTTTGTGAAAATAGACCTCCGTTATGCGTTGGCGAATGTTTCAGAATGTATCATTCAAAAGAATAGGTTTACATTTTAATTTTCAAGAAATAAAATTTTAAAAAATTCAATACTTTACTTCTATTTGTTTAAAAAAAATATATATTTTTTTACGTATTTAAATTAGATTCCCGGGATTTTTAAAGTAAAAACTTATGTGTATTCTGTTATGAGAATCAACTGTGAAGCTAAAAAAAAAAAAAAAATTAAATAGATAAAGCCAATCATGCACAAATATTATTTGAAATAAGTTAGTATAACTACGAGTATTCTCGTAGATGGCAAACTCAGGACGCCGGCTTGCTACGAGTATACTCAAATATCAAGCGTTTACTTACAACGAGTATACTCGTAGTTGGCAAATATTAAGCGTTTATTTACTACGAGTATTCTCGAAGTTGGCAGCGAACAGGTTAATTATTCAAGTAAAAGAAAACCTTCAGTATTATATTAGGCATGACAAGAGTATTTCTGATGTCAATAAAGAGGTTTTAACAATTGAAATATTGAACAATAAAACTAAAAACATTGTAATTAGCTGTTTTTATCGCCCACCTACAGGCGAAATTAAAACTTTTAGTACATTTTTACAAGATGATGTTATAAATAAAAGCAACCATGAAAAAAAATTACTTTACATATTAGGTGATCTGAATTTAAATTGCTTTGAGTATCATGTCAAAAAAGATATTAATGGGTTTTATAATGGCCTATTTGAAAACAGAGCAGTTCCTCTAATAAACAAACCAACTAGAATTACTCAAACAACAACTTTCTTAATTGATAACATTATAACCAACGATATTTTTAATAATTCGCTTAAAAAAGGCCTTATTAAAAGTGATATATCTGATCACTTCCCTATATTTTTTTCAATTGATATTAATGCGAAAATTATATGTTATGAAAAAAAATCATTTAAAAAACGAATTTTTCATAATAAAAACATAGAATCTTTTAAATACCAACTTTCGTTAATTAATTGGGACATAATAAACTTTTCTGAAGACATTAATTTAATATACAAATCCTTTTTTAAAATTTTTTATGAAATTTATGACATCAATTTTCCCAAAGTAGAAGTAAATTACAAATATAAAAACATTCTATCACCATGGATTACTAAAGGTATTCTAAAATCTTCAAAAATTAAGCAAAAACTTTATATTAAATATTTAAAATCAAAAACAACTGAGAGTAAGACTATTTATAAAAATTACGTAAGATTATTTGAACGCCTAAGGAAAAATTCAAAAAAAATATATTTCACTAATTAATTTGAAAAATACAAATTAAAGTCAAAACGCACTTGGCAACTAATAAACAAAATTACTGGTAACACTAAAAAAATGTCACAATCTTTGCCCTCAGTTATTAAAGTAGATGATAATCTTCTTCTTGATCAAAACTCAATTGCTTCTGAATTTAATGAATATTTTGTATCTGTTGGACCAAACCTAGCTAAAAAAATTCCGAACCCTAAAAAATAAATAAAAGCAACATATAACCCTCTAAACTCGTATCTAAATTCTTTTGATTTGTCTTTTGAAGAGTTTGAAAGTGCTTTTAAATTGTTAAAGTCAAATAAAGCAGTTGGTCCTGATGATGTCAACGGAAATATTATTATAAGCTGTTTTGACGTTTTAAAAGATATACTGTTCCAAATTTTTAAATGCTCTATTAATCAGGGAGTTTTTCCTGATGATTTAAAAATAGCAAAAATTATTCCTATATTTAAAGGAGAAAAACCTAATGTAAAACACTATTGTCCAATTTCCATCCTCTCTGTTTTTTCTAAAATTTTAGAAAGAATTTTGTACAACAGAATATACAATCACCTTTTAACAAACAAATTATTATATAACATGCAATATGGATTCAAAAAAAATAATTCAACAGAGCATGCAATTATTCAGCTTACAAGAAGTATATCAGACTCATTTAACAATTCTAAATTTACATTGGGAATATTTATTGATTTAGCGAAAGCGTTTGACACAATTGATCATAAAATTCTTATTAAAAAATTAGAATATTATGGTATAATAAGCAATGTTTTAAAATGGTTGAAAAGTTATTTAACTAATCGTAAACAATTTGTTTATGCTGATAAATCATTTCATCAAATTTGTTAAATATTACATGTGGAGTTCCTCAAGGATCCATATTAGGACCTTTTCTCTTCCTTATTTATATTAATGATCTATACAAAGCGAATTTAATAAAAATTATGTTTGCTGATGACACTAGTTTGTTTATGTCTCAAAAAAGCATTCCTATTTTATTTCATAAAGTGAACATCGAGTTAATCAAAATATCTGACTGGTTTAAGACAAACAAACTATCCCTTAACATTGATAAAACTAAATGGATTCTTTTCCAACCTCTTACCAAAAAACATAAACTGCCAATTAACATTCTCCACTTGTTATTGACAATATACAAATTAAAAAAGTAACATTAACAAATTTTCTAGGCGTTTGTTTAGATGAAAATCTTACATGGAAAAATCACATTAAAAACTTATCAAGTAAAATTTCAAAAAGTATAGGAATATTGTACAAAGCGAGAAATGTCTTAAATAAACAAACTTTAGTACCATTACATCACTCATTTATTCATTGCCACATAAACTATGCAAACATTGCTTGGGGCAGTGCAAATAAAAACAAACTTAAACCTCTTTATTGTCAGCAGAAGCATGTAGCACGTCTTTTATATTTTAAAGACCGTTATACTCATGCCAAGCCTCTTTTATTTGAAATGAAAGTTTTTAATATATACGAGATTAATATTTTTAATATTCTTTGTTTTATGTTTAAATGTAAAACCAATTCATCCCCGATTTCTTTCCATAATTTGTATTCATCAAAAGATAAAAATAAATACATTTTACGCAATAATAATTTTATCTTTTTAAATTTTGTAATGATTATCGCGGATCATTGCTATGGAATAAAATAGTTTTAAAAAATTTTACTGAGGATTTTATTAATCAAAGTAACTATTTTTCTTTTAAACAAAAGCTTAAAGAACTCATTTTTACAACCGATGATTTAACAATACACTTGTGATATTTTTTGTAATCTTTATTTTTACCATTTATTTAAACATGAACTTATAAAAAGTATATGTGTATCATTAAAAACTATAATTTACATATATAATATATATATATTGCATCCTGTATTTATTATGGAGTATTTTAAGTTTCTTACTTTTGTTAACTAATTTTTATTTTTTAATCTTGTAATTATCTTTTAAATTTTAAGAACGAACATTTCTTAGCGGTACTCGACGACAAGACCGTATGGTCTTCTACGAGTCCCCGCGTTCTTTTATTTTCTAATCACGACCATTTTGATTATATATAAATTATATATTTGTACTTAAAATATTGTAACGAAATTTATTATATGTTTGTTTTTGAAATATTGTAACGAAATGCTTATTTTACATGTAATACGAAGAACAAAAAAAAAAAAAAGTAAATATATATATATATATATATATATATTTATATATATAAAATATATATAATATATATATATATATATATATATATATATATATATATATATATATATATATATATATATATATATATATATATATATATATATATATATATACGTTTCTTACGAGTTGCATTGTAAACAATGCAACTCGTAAGAAACGGCACCTAGTTAAAAACTGTAAAAATGTATCAAATAATGTAAAACAAAGTTTTAATATAAAAGGAAGCTTATTTACAACTAAACTGGTTGCAGAAATTGCTGCTAGTTCATCTGAGGATGAAGATGATGAAGATCTTGACATTGGGGATAATAGTATAGTTCGCAATAATAGTTTTCCAGTCTTCTGTAATCTAGTTGATTTTTCTGTTGTAACACCTTCTGTCAGTTAATGCAACTGCTACAGAACCTCTCCCAAGTTCTTCTTTAACATCAGTTTGCAATTTACACAATATAAAACGCTGGTCAGATACTTGTGACCAGAAAACTCGCGAGGATTTAGAAATAACTTTTTAAAAAGCCATAAATTGAACTGCAACTGCATTTTCAATGGTTGATAATCCATTATGGGGGGAGTTTTCTAGACAACTAAGACCTGCTTGGAACCCACCATCTCGGTATAAACTTGCAGGAAACACCTTTGTTAAAACTGTGGCATTCACGGATTAAAACTGAAAACTCAGTTCTGATAAAAAAAAACCTTTAGGGAGTGTTTTGATGTCTGATGGATGGCCAGATGTTTGCAATGATAATTACATACAGTTCCTTCTTTCCACACCAAAACCGATATTTCTTATCGTCATTTCATCCTGAAAGCAATCGTCATACAGCTAAGTATATTTTTGACATCACTAACCCTGTAATTAAGGAAATTCATGTTAAACCTATTGCCTTTATATCAGACCATGCATCAAATATGACGAAGACATGGAAGTTGGTACAACATGAACACCATGAAATTTTTTGTTATGGGTGTGGGGCACATGCACTGGAGCTCCTGGCTACAGATATACTTAAGATTCGATCTGTTCAGTTTAACCACCTTTAACACAAGAAAGTGTCTGGTTTCTTTAGAAAGAAGCAAATTCTAAAGCATGTGATGTTAGAACATCAAATGACTTTGAAAAAGTCTAATTTAGTTTGCCTACTAACTGCTTTTACTATGACCATAAGAAAAAATGATCTTTAAGATGTTTTGCGTATTTTAATTTCGGATGTTCGAGTTTATGCTTGAAGTGCACATGATAAAGCAAAACTAAATTCTGTAAAGAATACTTTACATGACACTGTGTCATTTTAGTCAATAAGTGTGTTTTGCAAAAAACTACTAGCAGCAATTCGAAATACAGTTAAATCTGCAGTAGGAGATCATGTTCGTACATCTGTAATGCCTCGTTTATGGAACTATGTCGCCAACATCTTCAAAGAAGTGTTATCAAATAGTATGTTGCCAACATCTTCAAAGAAGTGTTATTAAATGTTATTAATATCCTTAAGAGGATATAAAATTGA